AAGAGGGGCAAAACCAGCAGCTGGCAGAGCGGGGTTGCACAGGAGGACTCAGTCAGACAGACTCAGGTGCACGGAATCCAGGCACTCAGTGGGTGACCGCGGGGGAAACAGCAAGGAAGCAGGGCTGCCGGTTGACTATGGTCGCACATTCGTGGGTGGATAGACAACTGAGGGAGTGGGCGATTGTATGGGACCCAGCAGGCCCCAGTGGCAAGTGACAACAGAGGGCGCCGCCATTTCCCTGCTCTGACCCCCGCCTCCACATAAGCGTCATAACCCAGCAAACTGAGTGGCCCCACCCTGGTGAACCACCTAAGGCTCTGCTCCTCACCCAGCTGCGAGAAACAGCAGAGGGGGCCGCCATTTCCCTGCTCTGACCACACCCCCACATACAGCGTCACAACCCAGCCACCTGGGAGTCCAAGGCTCCGCTCCTCACATTTAAAGGGCCAGAACAGACCAAAAATGGCTCAAGAAGATCTCAAAGCCCTAGAGCCTATAAATCTAAGCGATGAGGAAATAGCAAAACTCTCAGACGCACAGTTTAAAACACTGGTGATCAGGATCCTCACAGAACTGGTTGGTTATAGCCACAAATTAGACAAACATATGAAGGCTAAACTAAGGGAAATGAATGGAATTGCACAGGAAACCAATAGCGATGAAAAGGAAACTGGGACTCAAATCAATGGAGTGGACCAGAAGAAAGCAAATAATGGCCAAACAGAAAAGAGTCAAGGAGCAAGAATTCAAAAAAATGAGGACAGTCTTAGGAGCCTCCAGGACATCTTTAAACGCTCCAACATCCGAATTATAGGGGTACCAGAAGAAGGAAAGGAACAGCCACCAGTGGAAAACTTATTTGAACAAATAATAAAGGAGAATTTCCACAATCTGGCAAAGCAAATAGACTTCCAGGAAATCCAGGAAGCTCAGAGAGTCCCAAAGAAGTTGGACCCAAGAAGGAACACACCAAGGCACATCATAATTAAATTAGCCAAAATTAAAATGAAGGAGAGAATCCTAGAAGCAGCAAGAGCTAAGGGGACAGTCACCTACAAAGGAGTCCCCATCAGACTGTCAGCTGATTTCTCAAAAGAGACCTTACAGGCAAGAAGGGGCTGGAAAGAGGTATTCCAAGTCATGAAATCCAAAGACCTACATCCAAGATTGCTCTATCCAGCAAAACTTTCATTTAGAATGGAAGGACAGATAAGGTGCTTCTCAGATAAGATCAAATTCAAGGAGTTCATCATCACCAAGCCCTTATTATATGAAATGTTAAAGGGACTTATCTAAGAAAAAGAAGTTAAAGAAACATGAACAGTGAAAGGACAACAAACTCACAGTTATTAACAACCACACCTAAAACGAAAGCAAACTAAAAGGACAGCTAGATCAGGAGTGGAAACATAGAAATGAAGATCTCCAGGAGGGTTAGCAACAGGGGAGTGGGAGGAGGAGAAGGGGGGAGAAGGTACAGAAAATAAGTAGCATAGACAGTAGATAGAAAATAGATGGGGGGGGGCAAGAATAGTATGGGAAATATAGAGTCTAAAGAACTTGAGACACATGGTCATAAACTAAAGGGGGGGTAATGGTGGGGACAGGGGGGTAGGGTGGAGGGGAATGAAGGGGGTGGGAATAGAACAACTATAATGGCATAATCAATAAAAATAAATAAATTAAAAAAAAAAAAAGAAACCACCACGCAGACTTAGGCGCTGATAGCACCAAGGACAGAACTCTGCACTCAGCCTCACACAGCCACCTGCCTAGTTTACAAAGAAATAATTTTTTTCTCACTGGTTCCAATCACAGCCAAGCTCATCCCTGAAAATGTTGCTCCTGGAGGAGCACCCACCTCACAACTGAGAACACACACTCTCAAAGACCTGTTTTCTACATTTGTGTCCCAGGGACTTCTCTATTTCACAGACTCCTTGAGTAGCATCCCAATTCCTTTTTTCAGAAATTCTTCAGTGGGAGGTGGGGGAAAAACCTGGAAGTCAGGACACCTGAGCTCTGATATCCAGCCTGCAGAGCCTATAAAAAAAAAAGTACAGGTTTGCCCTGGCTGGTGTGGCTCAGTGGATTGAGCACCAGTCTGTGAACCAGAAGGTTGGTGGTTTGATTCTTAGTCAGGGCATGTGCCTGGGTTGCAGGGCAGGTTCCTGGTGGGGGCACGTGGGGAGCACCCACACATTGAGGTTTCTCTCCCTCTCTTTCTCCCTCCATTCCCCTCTCTCTAAAAATAAATAAATAAAAAATCTTTTTTAAAACTTTGAAAAACACAGGTTTATTGGGGAGTAAGGATATTATGGGGAATAATTTTTTATATTTCAATTTTCTATAGTATTATTTACATTTCTTATTGTGGTGAGATATACAAAACATAAAATTTACCATTTTAATGATTTATAAGTGGACAGTTCAGTGACATTAAGCATATTCACATAATTGTGCAACCATCACAACTGTCATCTCCAGAACTTTTTTATTTTCTCAAACGGAAACTCTACCCATTAAATAATAACTGCTCTTTCTCTCACTCCCCCAGCCCCTGGCTACCACCATTCTGCTTTCTGTCTCTATGAGTTTGATGACTCTGGGGACCTCATGTCAGCAGAATCATACAGTATTTGTCCTTTGTGACTGGCTTATTTTACTTAGCATAATGTCTTATAGGGTCATCCATGTTTTATAATGTGTCAGAATTTCCTTTCTTTATAGGGCTGAATAATATTACTCTGTGTGTGTGTGTGTGTGTGTGTGTGTGTGTGACATTTTGTCTATCCATTAATCCACTGATGGACATTTAAGTTGTCTCAACTTTTCGGCTTGTTGTGAACACTGCTGTGCGAATATGTGTTTGAGTCTCTTTCAGTCTTTTGTATGTATGTAGAGTACGTAGAGTATAATTGCTGGATCATGTGGTGATTCTATGTTTAATTTTTTGAGGAACCAGTTAAAATTTTTTAAGCTTTAAAAAAAAGATTTTGTTTATTTATTTTTAGAGAGAGGTGAAAGGAGGAAGAAAGAGAAGGAGAGAAACCTCAGTGCGTGGTTGCCTCCCACTGGGGACCTGGCCTGCAACCCAGGCATGTGCCCTGACTGGGAAACAAACTGCCAACCCTTTGGTTTGCAGGCCGGCACTCAATCCACTGAGCCACGCCAGCCAGGGCTAACCTTTGGGGTTTTTTTAAAGTCATAAAAAACTGTTAGGAATCAAAACACCTAGTTTAAAACTTAAAAACAAAAAAATCACATTTGATCTTTCTGTTGTTTTTTTTTAAAGATTTTATTTACTTATTTATTTGTTTGTTTGTTTATTTATTTATTTATAGAGGGGAAGGAGAGAGAGAGAGAAACATCAATGTATGGTTGCCTTTCGTGCATCCCCTGCTGGAAAGTGGCCTGCAGGGAACCTGCCTGCAACCCCGCCATGTGCCCTGACTGGGAATCGAACCTCGATCCTTTGATTTGCAGGCCCACGCTCTATCCACTGAGCTACACCAGCCAGGGCTGATCTTTCTGGTTTTTAATAATGCTTCCCCTTCTAGTGTTTTTATTTTTATTTTTATTGAAAGAAAGACTAAATGAAGGAGAGCGTACATAACAATTTTCAGGTTTATTTGTTTATTTATATAGATTTAAAAATACTTTTGACATACATATATATAACATTAAAGTCACTGTCTTAACCATTTTTAAGTGTTCAGTTCAGTGGTATTAAGTTCAGCTTTTAAGGTTTATAATCTCCTCAGATTCTAGTCTCATCAGGTTCCTACATGTCATAAGGCCCAGAGCCACGGGGCTCTTCCTTTCCATCGGCTCCCAGCCCTGCCGCATTCTGGGCCCCTTCCGGCCCTTTCCTCAAAACCGCCAGGGCCGAGCGATCTGAGTCAGACCGCCCCTGTGATCCCCTTTTGTGAGACACTTACATTTCGACATAGTTTCATGGTCTTTCACATTAAAGGGCTGTCATTTTGCAAAACGGAATACTAATACTCAGTAAGAGCTGTGTGATTATGTTCAGGGAGCTTGCCAGACCAGGAATTTCTAACTATGCTTCCCCCGGCCCCCCTACGTACATGGGCTATGTGACTTTGGACATGACACCTCCCTTATTTGGGGCTTACTTGTCATCTGTCAGTGGATGAGTCACACTAGACAATCTGAAAGGACTCCAGTCCGGAGCTGTTGACACTCCACTGTGCCTGCACCCAGGCTCCTCCACCCTCAGCAGCAGGACAAAGGGGCCAAGACTGTTTTTGACCCTGGATTCTTCCCAGAGGCCTGACGTTGTTGTTACCCAAGCTTCACCTCACAGATATTTTCTTTTTAAAGATTTTAATTTAGCTTTAGAGAGAGGGGAAGGGAAGGAGAGAGAGAGGGAGAGAAACACTGATGTGTGGTTGCCTCCCACGTGCCCCCACTGGGGACCTGGCCTGCGACCCAGGCCTGTGCCTGGACTGGGAATCAAACCAGCGGCCCTTTGACTCACAGCCCAGAACTCGATCCACTGAGCCACACCAGCCAGGGCTAGATATTTTCTAACAAAAACTGGAGCTAAGTTGTCTAAAGACATGGAGATGTGTGTCTATGAAGAGTGGAGGCGGCCCGCTGAAGCCAGAGGGCGTGTGCGGGCTGGATGGCAAGAGGTGGTTTGGTGCGGCTCAGTGGGCCGGGCAGGGCAGGGACAGGGCACAGAGGAGAGCAGGTAGAGGGAGGTGCCTTGGGAGAAGAACTGGGGGATGGAAGTGGACGGCACAGAGTCTCTGTCTGCTCTTGCTTGGCCTCTGGGTGAATATTCTGAACCCTGACTATGGGGTGACACCAAGTTCAACAGAGCCACTGCCCATTCCGGCCCCACCTCTGTTGCCAGGAACCCGCCTGCTCACCACAGTGACCACATCCCCCAGGTTGCCTTAGAAACACTCCTGGGGGGGGGGGCTGGGGAGCCGGGGCACAGTTGCCCAGCAACAGGTGGTGCCCTCCCTTCCGCTCTCATCTGAGGCGCCGCTCCGCGCCCTCCCACAGGCACGGGGAAGAGCTGCTCCGAAGGGAGAGAGGGGCCTGGAGACGGAAGACTGGAGCCAGCCGCTTTAGGTGGGAATCCCCGGGAACAGCACTCGCCACTTCCTCTCTAGGCCCAGTAAGACCTGAGGGGTTGGGAGGAAAGACACCCTTAGGACCCTTTGAGCCTTGTGAAGCTCCTGGGGACGGGGAGGGAAATAGGGCTTCTAGGAGGGGGGTGGAGATTCCAAATGGGAGGGCCAGGCCGCAGGCCTCGTGGTGCTCCCGACACCCCACCCCATGGGACTCCTCCAGCCCCTTCTGAGTGCTCCCTGCTCCTGTCCCTGCATGGACCTGTTTCTCAGGCCAGACTCCCAGCCCCCTGACCTGTTTCCCTATTTGGTCTTATCTGGGCACTTGCCGCCTCTTCCCCTTTCTAGGTTGTAGCTTCCTCTCCTGAGTCCTGTCTCTCCAGATGCCTTGGACTCCAAAGCAGCCCTCTGGGCACATGGAGGGGCCCCCTGCATCGGAGCTGGCCTCCTGGCCTCCACTGCCCTGCGGGCCTTGCATCCCCATCATGCTGGCCCTGGCCGCCCTGGCCGCCCTCTTCCTCCTCACCACAGTGGTGCTGGCTGAGCGCCTGTTCCGCCGTTCTCTGCAACCAGACTCCAGCCCCCACGCACCCACCCTCGTCTGGCGTCCTGGGGGAGAGCTGTGGATTGAACCCACCGGCACCCCCCGAGAGCGCTCTGAGGACTGGTACGGCTCTGGGGTCCCCCTGCTGATGGACCAAGCCCCAGATCCTCCTACCCCCGGGAGCCCCTTGGAGTCCCGAGCAACAGCCCCACTTGCCCCTTCAACCCCGCACTCCCCTCCTAGCTCCTTAGTCCCCCAGATCCCATCTAAGGTCCCAGCCCGTAGCACCTTCTGGGGGCCCCAGGCCTGGGAAGGAAGACCCCATGCCCCGGGCCTGGTGAGCTGGGCTGAGCCTGAACAGAGGCTAGAGTACAGTGCAGATTTGGGGAGCCCCCAGGCCCGAAGGCAGCGGCCAGGGAGCCCTGATCCCGAGTGGGGCCTCCAGCCTCGGGTCACCCTGGAACAGATCTCCGCTTTCTGGAGGCGTGAAGGCCGAGCTAGTGCGGGTTTCTGAGTCCCCAGGGCCTGGAGGACAGGCCTCCTAGAGACCTCTGAGGAAGGCCCGACCTCAGCAGGATGGTAAGACCCTTAGGCTGCAGCCCGGGAGCCCAGCTGACAGTTGGGGCCAGGGAAGAATGCCCCAGGCCTGTTCACATCTGGATTTCTATTGAGCTGGACCTGGGTCTCAGCGGGCTGGGTGTGGACAGAGCCTGTGCCGCAGGGGATTCAGAGCTGCCTCTGCCCAGCGGCCCGAGGGAGGGGGCAGGGTCTGCGGTTCAGTGAAATGGAGGTACCGATGACTCTGGGCCGGAAGCTGCCAAGATCACTTTTCTGATTAAGAACTCACAGTACAAGACAGGCATGATATAGCGTCACTGCAGTGGCTTCCACCTTCCTTCGCTGTGCGTCTAAGATGCCAGTATCAGAGGGAAGGGGTCCCGTGGATGCTGACGAGCAGACTGAGTGTGGCCATGGTGTGTGTCAGCTGTGAAGCAGGAGGTGACAGACATCCAGCTGCCAGAGCCACAAGTCGTCCCTTCAGGAAAACACATAAAGAGACATCAAGACCAGGCAAAGGAGCATCTTATTCTTTACGAACTGGGACTTTGACCCCCAGCTGACAGCAGCAAAATTGGGGAGACAAGCTGGAGAGGGCCTCCCTTACCTTCAGCTGGGTCCTACCTAGAGTCAAAGGAAACCAGTGGGCTCCTCTGCCCGTCCTCCCTCTGGAAGCTGCCACACCCCCGCCCTCCAACTCTTACCCCTCCATGGTGAGCAGGGGTCCCCAGCCTTTTTGGCACCAGGGATCAGTTCTGTGGAAGACAGTTTTTCCACAGATGGGAGACGCAGGGTAAGGGAGGGGGAGTAGAGCTCAGGTGGTAATGCAAACGACGGGCGTAGAATGAAGCTTTGCTTGCTCACCTTCTTCTGTGCTGCCCAGTTCCTCACAGGCCGTGGACTGGTACGGGTCGTTTCCCTGGGGGCTTGGGACCCCTGGTGGTGAGGGAGGCAGGGGTCAAGGAGATAAGAGGTTGATCTGATGGAGAAAGGAGCACTGCCCCAGGGCAGGGCAGCTCCCAGTGTGCAACCTCTGGCTTTCTTTCCTCCTAGCTTCCTGGAGTGTTTCTGGGAGACAGAGTCCCCCCCCCCCAGGCAGGCTTACTTATAATCCACCACTGTGGAGAAATGGAGCCCCCAAATGTCCTTGGCCCTGCAGCCATCTGTATCAGCTGGCCACCTCTTTGGGAGCACAGGTGGGGGTAGGGGGTGGGGAGAGGCAAAGGTGTTTCCATTTCCCTGGTCTCTGACTCCAAGGTGCAGTCATGAATGGCAGGGTCTTTGCCCTATCAGTTAACCACCTGTACTACTATTTACTCGATATTTTTCTTTAAATTGGTTTGCTATTTGCTTAATAAATTTATTTTAAAAGGAATCTTTTTTGTGTCACATCTGTAAATGGAAAACCAGTATCACTTGCCATAAATAGAAGGTAAAACATGAAAATAAGCACACTGTAAACAAAGATACTAAGTTCTAAGTAGATGTTCCCTGCTGGAGGCACTGATCTTTCTTGAAACAGAACAGGGTGAGGCAGCAAGTGTTAGCCATTCCAGCGCCACCCTGAGGCTTCCCCCAGAGGTACTGAGCCCTGCCCAGGGAACTGCAACCCTGTGCTACTTAATGCTGGCCAGGGACCTCCCACGTTCACCCACTCAGGGAAATACTGCTGGGCAGAGGCCAACACTCCGCTCTTTCTGCTCACCCCTTGGGTGCCAGAAGATGAAGGAGCAGCAGGGGAACGAGAAGCCTCTAGACAGAGGGACCTCTCCCCAGGGGCACTCATCCAGCGCATGGTCCTTGCACCTCCCCTGAGCCAGGCCCCGGAGGGGGAGGAATCGAGGAATTGGACCTGCCCCCAAGGAGCTCACAGTCTCTAGCGGCTGGGGTGGGGGTTCAGGAGGGGGAGATGAGGAGGGACACATAACTGATACAAGACAGGGCTCCTTTTCCACCTCTCGCTCCCGAGCTGGGTAACTATGTCACTTCTCGTCAGGATCAGCTGACAGGACTAGGGTTCTGGGGAGCCTGCCCATGAGGAGTGATCAGCCCGCCAGGGAAACAGAACAGAGAGGCAGTGTTAGGCAGTGTTCGGAGCTGGGACACCTGCACACCAAGTGCTCGGCGGAAGCAGAACAGTGCGGAAGGGACGCCGGAGACAAGGCTCCGGTTCTCGGTCTGGCTCTGTCACTCTCTCACTTGGAGACTTCAGAAAAGTGATTTTTATGTTACTGGGCCTCCCAGTCTTTCTCCGTACACTGAGAGAGCTGAAAATTGAACGAGATGCTGTATCGGGACTTCTCTAGCTGTGACATCTCAGGAGGGTGTAAAATGAAAGATGCGCCCAGGCACGCATGGATGAAGGTGATCTTCGGGAGGCGGAGTGCAGCCTGCCATCCCCAAAGTCACCTTCACGTTCTCAGACCCAGGACACGGTCTAGAATGTAACAGGAGCCCAAGGTAAAGCAGGACGAATAAGTGGGTAGACTGAGGGATGCTTCGGTTTTACCCTTTCTCCTTTCTCTTTATTTCAGACCTCTTCCTCTCCTTTTTAACACCGTCTTATTACTTTCTTGTGGTGAGTCCTTCCTTTATGCCTTTAGGCATTTGAAACATACTTACTGTCGGTCCTTTATCATTCTGTTTTCTGGAGTTCTAGGTGCTCACTCTCATTCATGACAGATGGCTTCTTCCTCTTAGGCTTTCTAATTCGAAGCCGTGACCTTGGCCTCCACAGCGCCTCATTAGTGGGAATGCGTATGGTCAGTTTTAGGGCACGTCTACAGAGCTTCTGTGTCTGCTCCCGCCTCGGATGCTTTGGGGTATTACCAACGCCGGGCCACATTATTTATTAACTTTATTTGGGCTTCTGAGACCACAGTGTAAACTTGAGCCCCCAATCCAGGAGGGCAAACCTTTCCTTATGAACTCTCAGGCGGGACTGTCTATCGCCCCTGGGTCTCTGGGTGAGACAGAGGAGGTTCTTTTTGCTCCCTGGGCTGATAGGAAATACATTTTTTTCTAGCCTGCTCTTTCACTGAGAGTGTCACCTTCATCTGGGGCCTCTGGTCAGTGCCCCTCACAAGGCCTCCTCTCCAGTCTCCAGATGAATGTAAGACCCAAGCTCTTTCACCGCCGAGCTCTCCAGCCACCCAGCAGCACACACAGCTCCGGTTTCCAACTTCCTCTCGGTGTGCAACTCCAGGGCATTGCCCTGACTTTCTTGAAACACAGCTGTGCATTTTAAAGGGTGTTTGCTCGATTTCATGCTGCATTTCTAGATGTTTCGTGGTGGGGATGTGCTTGTCTGGTTATAACATACACAGTGTCTCTCACACACACAAAAGCCAGACTATTTCCTCTATAAACAAGTATGAAAGTCTCCCACCTTAGAACAGCCAACAACTAATTCCCCATCCCTCACCGCATAACATGACCTCCTACCTTCTTCACAGACAAACTTCTGGAAAGAGCTGCCTGTTCTAGCCAGCGGTCCCCAGCTGCTCGTCTTCCCATCGCTCTGCAGCCTGCTACGGCTTCTGTGCACTTTCAGCCTTCTCCAGAAACTATTTTCACCACAACCATAGCCTGCATTTCTTAAAAGACTTATTTATTTATTTTTAGAGAGATGGGGAGGGAGGGAGAACGAGAGGGAGAGAAACATTGATGTGAGAGAGAAACATCGACTGGCTGCCGCTCACACACGCCCTGACGGGGACGGGACCCACCACCCAGGCATATGCCCTGACCAGGAATCTCTCGCTTTGTGGGATGAACACCCAGCCAACTGAGCCACACCAGTCAGGGCATAGCCTGCATATTTTTAATCAAAGGACACTGTTCAGCATCCTGTGGGCAGCATTAGACATTTTGATCCCATTCCTGACACATTTTGTTCCCTGCCTTCCAGGACTCCATGCGGACCTGACTTGCCTTCCCTCCCTCTGGCCTTCCTTTCCGACTCTTTTTCTGGCTGCCTTCCTCGAGGGTCAGCCCTGGACTGCTTTCTCTCCCCCGACACACTCTTCCTGGGTGGTCTCACTGATGCCCGCGGCTTCTATTGCTATTCCACGTTCTAGTGGCTCCCCAAGTTTCTGCCTCCGTCTGTGGCCGGCATGGGCCTCCACAGGTGTTCTCCCATTGTTCTCGAGTAATAGTGCCAATGGAGAGAACACCGATGATTCTAAAATCTCGTCAGTTCCCTGACAGTTCCAGGAAAAATGATGCTTTTTTTTCTTAGATTAAATAATAAAATATTTAAAAAAAAAAAGATTATCTCAGAACCAGTCCGTGGCCACCCGGCACAGTTGGTATTTGTCCCCAGAATAAAATCAGCACCCCTGAAAAAGTGTGGGGGCCATGAATTCACATGTATAAAAGAGGCCAAGCCAGAGACACAGGCGAGTGGCGCGGACCAGGGGTTGGAGATGAGAAGAGACCGCCAGCCGGTGCGCGGGTGTGGCGGCCCCTCGGTGCTGCCACTCATTACACCCTTTAGGCTTTTCAGAAGCCAAAAACCTGGGTTTCTAGGTAAAATCAACCAAAATATTCTCCCACACATATAGTCAATATATATGACTACGTGTGTACATATGTGTACATCTTTTAATCAATTTATTCATAGAAGCCAGAGGAAGCAAGGCTGTGTGGGCCACGCAAGCCTCCTGAACCACCAGCCAGAGATCCCTTCTAAACGGCCCTGACTGAACGAGTGCCCCTGAGGTCGGCGTGGAGCGCCCCTCATTATCTTGGCTTCTGGTGCTTTGAGGTGGGGTGGCCTGATCTCAGAAGGCCTTGAATCAGGCTTTTCCCCACCGTCACATTATTGACATTTGAGCCGGTGATAATTCTGCGTTGTGAGAGACTCTCGTGCACTGTAGGGTGTTGAGCAGCATCTCTGGCCTCCACCGCTAGATGTCAGCAGCGGCCCCTGGTTGTAACAACCGCACCGGCTCCAGACGTCACCAAGGTCACCCAGGTAGAGAGGGAGACTGGAACCTCTGATCTAAGTGAAGTATTTTAATGAATTAACACACCTGCCCCTGGAGATTGCAGCCAAGAATAAGGCTGCTCGGCACCGGGCCTCCTCGGCTGCCAAGGGGAGCCACGGGACCTCCTCTCACTAATTCTCAGTGATGCCAAGAAGAATAGGACAAAGAAACAAAACAGCCAGCCCTGGAGAAAACAAATAAATAAAATAATGCACCCAGAAAACAGGAGGAGGCTTCTAGGAAGACACTGCATTTGGAGAAAAAAAAACGTTCTGGATATTACAAATTTCCCCAGTTAGAAAATTAAGCAAAGGAAGCTATGAGGGGAGTTTTAAACATTTCTCAGGATGTAGAGCAAAATGACAAAGAAATAGGGAATATGAAAGAAAAGTTACAAGAGGAAGGATCATTTCATTCAATATTCATCTGACAGAAGCTTCAGAGAAAACACGGGGGAGGAAATAAAAATGATTGTATTTGACTGAGAAAAACACTTTAAGCAGAGAAGTCTGCGGAGAGCGGCCCTCGCCTGGCTGCGCTGGAGCCTGGGGGGTGGGGGGGACGCTCATTCGCAAACACCAGATCGGACGCCTGCCTCTCCCCCCCCCCCCCCCGTGGAGCAGCAGGGGCTGGGTTCACCCTCCGCCTGCAACCACCACCACTGCCACCACAAAGCCAGACAAACATACGTGAAATAACAGTTTTCAAAACACTTGACACCAAGCAGTGAGGTAGAGAAAGCAGTAAAATCCCCAAGAGAAAGGAAAACAATCAAGGTGTGTCCTTTTATGACGGCCCAGCTCACTGCTTGGAGAATTTCCAAACTGCAGGCCGTCAGAGGGAGTGAAGTGGGGCCCGGAGGACTTTTGGCGTTGAGGGAACACAGCTGAGGGGCCAGGGGCGCCACAGTGGCTGAAGGAGGGGGAACAGAACTCAGAGAAGAGTGAGTTACCTGCGGAGAACCCCACAATCCATAGAGAAGCTCCCCTGAGTACTCAGCAGAGAACCAAACAGCACATGTGTAAACCACCCAAGGCCAGGGGAAGAGCCACCTGAAGAATCAGAGGGAGCAGTGTGCCAGGGTTCACTCAAGGCCAGGGCCTCCTCCCACCAGCCAGACTGGAAAATGTCCCAGGGCCCTGGGCAGGGTACTCAGGGAGACTTTGGCTTAGTGATGGCAAATTATTAATTAACCCCGAGACTAAAGACACTGCTCTGAACCTGTCTGACAAATCGTACAGATTACAAAAATACTTGGTGTTCAACAAGGTAAAATTCACAATGTCAGGCAAGCAATCAAAGATTACGATGCTCGCAAAGAGGCAGCAAAACCTGATCCGTTCTGAGGAAAATAACCGACCAACGGACACCAGCCCAGAAATGA